AAGAATTTACTCTGAAGGACTACTTCAATAAGAACAAAACCCGCGAAAATCCCTACCCGGGGTGTGTCGAAACAAATTTTAAAAAGTGTAAGGCGAAAAACTGAAAGTTAATTTGCGAAATTTAAGTCATCAAGAAAGAATTTAAAATTTTTATGCCTAAATGGCACGTCTTATTTATTTAGTTATGAAAAAATAATTTTTATTTTCCAACCTGTTGGCCTACAAAAGTTGTCGGAACGGCAACAAAAAGTTGGACTATTTGTGCGAAAAGATCAGCAAAAATGAGTTGCCAAACAATTCGATAAAAAACATTTTTTCGAAATTGTTTCCATCCCTTAATTTTATTATATTTTTTAATTAAATATTAATTAACCTTTAACAATGTTAGAGACAAAAGTATGTTCATAGTAAGGGAAGTTATTGTTAATATTAGGTAGGAGAAGGCTCCAAAAATCCGAACAAATGGAAGAGCTTCTTCTTTATTTGCCATTTTCAAAAATTGAAAATTTTCAAAATAAGATTTTTATTTTTTTAATTAAAATGTCACACCAAAAATTTGAAGAAATCTCAATTCAAGATACGTTTATATACTCTATAATAATTTAAATTTTTATGCCTAACCTTTAATCCTTCTATTTATATTTATTTTTGGTAAACCTAGTTAACTAATAAATCTTTTGGACTTTTGAAAGAAAATAAATAATAAATAAATATATTTTATTAGAGAATATTAACAAACTTAAGTACATAAAAATATTTAAATAAAAACTAAAAACCAATCATAAGATTTCTTTTAAAAAAATTTTAGAAAATTAACATTGGCAATTTTCTTTATTTTATTTAAAATACAACATTCAATTATTTTAACATTTTTATTTATTTAATTATGAGGGAAAGACAAAAAAATTTTTATTACGTTGCTTAAATAAATTATTAGTTAGTTGAGTAAATAAGAATAAAATTATGGTAAAACGATTTTTAAATAAAATTATAAGTTATTTAAAATTAATTAAATATTTGCAAAAATTAAAGTTTAAACAAATAAATTTTTTTATTAAATATTTAAAAATAATTAATTCAATTAAAATGTTTAGGTAATTTAATAGTTGTAAATAGCCTTTAAAATTAAAGAAGTACATATCCTAAATAATTAAATTTCTACAGTTTAAATTTTAAAAAATTTAAAAATAATTTAATAAATTAATTCTAAAACGATAGAAATTAGCTTAAAAAATAATTTACTAATTTTTTTATATATTTTAAAATAAAAAATTTACAAATAAAATCTATTTGCAAAAAACAAACTTCTGTGTTCCAATTTATAGAAATAATTGTCTTTACTCAAAAATTTAGGATAATCTTTAAAAATTTAAATTAAAATATTCCAATTTTTCCCTCCTAAATATTTATTTAACATCTACTTATTTTTGTTTTTTTTTGAATTTAAATATTACTATCAACAAAAAAAGCTTTCTTTTTCAAAAAAATGTCTAAATTATATACAATTTTCTCTTATCAGTAATTTAAAAAGAACAATAAATTAATATTTTTTTAAAAATTAATTAACCATGTGCTTCTTCTCGAGAGTTATTTTAAATTAAGGGTATTTAAATCAAAGGCATTCTCCCTTTAAATAAAAAATATTTTTTGTTCAAAAAAATAAATGAATTTAGTATTTTTTCCTAATTTTTTATTTAATTTAAAATTGTCTACATGCCTTTTCTTCTATGTTTGGGCAATGCTTGGATGGCCTTTTTGTTCAACTGTTTTAATCCTATATTTATTATTTTCACCAAAACTTTGGTAAATTAACAAAAAATCTTAAAATTAAAGTTGGGCTGCTCTTTGGGTTGAAAAATTGTATTTTGTATATGGGAGAGAAAAAAAGACCAAAACGAGGCTTGACATCTTTTCCATCTATTTAAAAAAACATTTTCTTAAATTTGGGTGTATCAAGTTAGAATTTAAATAATTTTGACTGTATTTTAAAAAAAAATAATTTTTTAGGTTTTTTCTTTTTATTTATTCAATTTGGCTTTTTTATGATTGGCAAACACCAAAACGAGGCTCTAGACCGTTAAAATGGTTTAGAGAATTATTTTTATGGAAAGTATTGGCTGATTATTTTAATTTTAAATTGGTCAAGACTTCAGAATTAAATAATGAAAGAAATTATATTTTTGGGTAGAATTTGTTTTTTTTTGATTAAAAATAAATATTTCTAATGATTTTTAAATAAATTTAAAAAATGTTTTCTCATATTTTCTAGAGTACATCCACATGGAGTACTTGCTACAGGAAGTGCTTTAACTTTCGGGACAGATGCAACAAACTTTAAAACTTTATTTCCCGAAATTGATGTTAGAATTGCAACACTTCCAGTTAATTTTTGGTTTCCTTTGAGAAGAGAATTTCTTTTAGCACATGGTAAATTAATAGAGAGATTTTAAAGGAAATATTATCTTTTTTGCTCCCAAAAATCAACAGACTTTTTATTTAAAAATTACAAATATTTATTTATTTAGGAATAATTTCCACAGATTTTGAATCTTTAAATTATTTTTTAAATAAATCAAAAAGTGGAAAAGCAGTAGCAATAGTAACTGGAGGGATTTCTGAAATGCTTAATTCAAAACCTGGCGAACATACTTTAACACTAGCAAACAGAAAGGTAAAAAAATAATTTTTAAAAATAAAAATAAATTTATTTTTAGGGATTTATTAAATTGGCATTAAAATGCGGGTAATTTTAATAAATTAAAGATCAATTTATAGATAACTTATTAAATAAAATATAATAAACACCTCCTTTGCACCACCTACCTTGCAAAAAAGTGAGAGTAATGTATATTTTAGATGATTGTTATATGTAATAATTATTAGATAAAAAAACAATTTTTTAACGAATTATAAATAGAAAATATTAGTTTTAAATTCTTTATAATTGTTTGAACATTAATAAAACGTCAATGTTCATATACCATTTCAATTGTATGTACATTTATATGTATAACTCCGCCTCTTAAGAACTGAAAATCCTATGTCTTTTGTTAGGTTCCAAACTGACAACCTATTTAAAAGACTAATTTTATATCTCTCGTTTGACACATTTCAACCTTTTCACTTGAAACTTAAAGTAAACAAAGTATTTTTTTGGATAAACTCTGATTTAACAATTCCGCGTCTAACTTTTTGAGTAAAATAATTTTTAATTTTTAGTGCAGATTTAGTACCAGTTTACATTTTTGGAGAAGATAAAGTTTTTATTAATTTTCCAAACCCAAAAAATAGTTTAATTTGGAAATATCAAGTTTATTTTGTTTAAAAAATATTTTTAATTTATTTTAAAGCAATTTATGAGGGAATTAACAATTCCTTTTTTCAAAAATTTATGTTTTCCTTTGGCTTATGGTTGTAGTTTTTTAACTTTGTTTTTGCCTAATAATTTGGCAAATAAATTACCTTCATTTTTGTTTTATGGAATTTTACCTTTTAAACAAAGAATTACTTCAATTGGTAAGTAAATCTCAGAAAGGAGAATATTGTTTATAGACATTCACCTTCACCAAATGGTCAACTAAATTTTGAAAAAAATGATCTTAACTTGAAGTTTATCTACTAACTATTGTGTCTGTATATAGCCCCACTGAAGATACAAATGTTAAATTTAAAAAATTTTATTTTAATTTAGTTGGAGAACCAATAAAAGTAAAAAAATGTGATAATCCCTCAGATCAACAAATCGACGATTTACATAATGAATATTGTAAAAATTTAATAAAATTATTTGAAGAACATAAATACGAATATGGAGAATTAAATGAAAATATAAAATTAAAATTTATTTAAAATTTAATTATTTATTTTGTAAATAAATGTTTTTGTAAATTAAATATATAAATATTTTAAATTATAAAAGTATTTTATTAAATTGGCAAACAATTGTTTTTAACAAACCATTAAAAGCGAGTAAAAGGGTCTGGTATGAGTTGGGGTAAAATTCGAAAAAAATCTTTCAATTTCTGAAAAAAAAAATTTAAAGAAAACTTCTTTTATCTTTTTCCACTTTCACAGAGTTTTTTGTGATTTTTTTTCTTTTTTTTAATCTAAAAGAAAATCTAAATAAAATATTAAATGACCACCCTGAAGAAAGGAAAAGTATAAATCCCAAAATATAAAAATTAATTTATTTATTTATTTTTATAATTATTTAAATCCTAAAAACTTTTTCTCAAAATTTAAAAGTTAATAATTTTTAAAATGAAAAATAAACAAAATAAATTTTTACAAATTATTTTATTTTTAATTTGTTCAATATTTATTTTATTAATTATTTTATTTATGTTATTTTACAGTCATTTAATTTTTGATTATTTTTCTTTAAAAAATATTTCTGAATTAATTGAAAATTGGAAAACGGTGGAAAATGATAAAGTTTGTGGAAATTTTAAACTCCTTCCCCCCCCCTCTCCTCTCATATATTGTTAAAGATTTTTTCAGTTTCCTGGTCAAAAAAGTCGGGTTGGAAATAGGAATTGAAATTGACTTTCTTTGTCTTCGATCAGCCTAAAGCTCGATCAAACGGTTAACCGAACCATTAACTCTACTTAACTTCTAGCACCTTTGGAAATCATGCATACATCCACCTCCAATTCCTTATTTAAATAGGCAGGGCTCTACCTATTTAACTCTAGTTTTATATTTCTTTAATGATTTCCTTTCCTTCATTACTCTCCCAAAAAAGTATTTAAAAATGATTTTTGATTGTAATGTATATTTTAATTATTTTGTAATTATTTAAGGAATTAATTATTAAAGAGGAAATTTGTTTTTCATTAAAAACTCAAGGAGAATTAATTAATACAAAAATAAATTTTGAATTAAACGAATTAATTAATTTAATAGAAAATTCAACAAATAAACAATTACAGAAAAAAATTTATTTAAAGGTTTTTTTTATTTTAAAAATAAATTTAAAAATTAATTAGTTGATTAATTTAATGGCAATTGGAAAAAATATTTCTTTAAATTTAAAAGAAAATTTAGAAGAAAATAATAAAATACTTGAAGTTTTGGGGGATTATTTTTATAATAAAATATTTAAACTTCAACATCCCCAAGATTGCAAAATTGCTAGATTTCTTGTTTGTAGGGTATTTTGAAGGGATTTTAAAAGAAAAATAAATAAATAATTTTTAAAAGTTGGAACAGTTTTGTGGATTTGGATGTGTAATGCATCATATTAGGTTGTTAAATAAATTAATTAATTGTTATCAGAGGTCTAGTCTACCCAATTCCCAAAAATCGAGAATTTTATTTTTTTGAAGGCTCTTTATGTAAAAGACAAAAGGAAAAAAATTTAAAAAAAAATTTAATCTTAAATTTAAAAGATTTTAAATAAAAAATTATTTTTAAAAAAGTTTTTGTCTGTCAATAGCAATGGGAACAAATAGAACATTAATATTTGAAGATGATGGTATTAAATGGAGTTATAATGTTAGATGGAATGATATATTTGAGCCTATTACAAATTGTAATTATGGTGAAGATGTAAAAGAAAAATAAATAAAAATATAAATTTAAATATTTAATTCAAAATTTTTATTAAAGATTGCCCCTTGGCTTCCAATAAATAATTACAAAGATATTTCTGCAAGAATTGAAAGACAATTATTTTTAGATAGGAGAAGTGATATTCCTTTTGAAGTAAATTATCAGCCAGAAGTTTTGCCAAAAGAATTTTCAGAAATTCTTTTTACCCAACATTCAAATCCTTCTCTTTGGTTTCATGGACAAGTTAGGGAAAAATAAAAAAAAATTATAAAATTAAATTTAAAGTTAATTAGATATATTTGGAGAGAAAGTCCAGTAACTCGTGAAATACTTGAAAAAATTGAAGCAAAAATACCCTTTGTTGAAGGTATTTATTTATTGAAACTATTTTGATTAATTAGCCTCCTCAAATTTTGATTTGTAAATAAATTGGGAAAAGAAATATGTTCATAGATTTAATTTGTTTTTATTTTTTTAACATTGTTTTCCTTAAATATTTTTTATAAATTATTAGGTCCAATTGTTGGCATTCACGTCAGGAGGACAGATAAATTTAAAGAAGCACAAACTCGCAATTTAGATGATTATTTTGTTTGTTTATTTTAAAAAGGCATTAATCAAGGAAGGGTTTTGCTAATATTTAAAGAAGTCTCCAAAAATAGCACTCCCTAAATCCTCCCTCCCTCCTCTGTTTTTTCCTTTTCTTGAGTAGTGCCCCAATATTTGAAAATAAATAAATCAAAAATTTTTTTAAAGAAATGGACAGATTTTTGGTTTGATCTTGAGAATATTAAATTATTACCTTTAGTAAAAGATAACAAAAATAATTTAAATAAAACAATAATTCAACAAATTCCTCGCCGTATTTTTATCGCTACAGAAGAACCAAAAATAGTTATTAAAGAAGCAAAAAAGCATTGGAATGATAAATATGAAATATTTTATAATAAATTAGAAGCAAAATGTAAAAAATATTTTTTAATTAAATTTATTTAAATTTAAAAAAAAAAGATGGTTTTGAAGAAGGTGATCCTATTCGATATACAAAAGATTCTCTTTTGGCAATAATGGCAGAAATTAAAATTTTAGTTCAATGTCAATTTGTTGTTTGTACTTTTAGTAGTAATGTAATAATGAAAATTAAAAATAAAATCTTTTTCTTTATCACTTTTTCGGATCCAAAAAATCTCTGCAAGTCTATATTTAATTTAGAAAAAATAAAAAAACTTGTTGACCTTTTAGAAAAAGTCCGAAAATAATTTTCGAATTTTTGGAGAGTTAAGCATAGAACTAATTTTTTCAAAATTTTAATTATTTAATTAAAGGTTTGCCGTCTAATTTATGAATTAATGCAAACAGTTCAGGCAAAAGATATGAGTGAAGCTGTGCAATCTTTGGATGTTTATTACACAGAAACATGGAAATGTTAATTTAAATTATGTATTTAAAGAAATTAATTTAGGTAAAAAGATGGAGGCAATTAATAATTATACAAAACCTCTAAACAATAAAGATGAAATAAATGCAAATAGAGGGGATATAATTGGTAATACCTAATCATAATAATTATTTTTTACTATTTCGAGTTTTTGGTATTGATTGTGATCATAAAAATCACTTTTTTAGATAATTTCCCTTCACTTCCATCAAAAAATTATTTAACTAAATACTAAATAATTAAAATATTTTAAGAAATATCTCGACCAATTTGGAATGGCTTTGTTTATGGAAAAAATACACAAACAAATTCTAGTGGACTATTTCCTTCACATTTATTGGGAGAAATCTTTCATTCAGAAAATTTTCCAATTTTTTATAAAGAAGATTGAATGAATACAAAACAAGACAAATTAAAAAAAGAAAAACAAAACAAATTCTAAAAGGGCAAGAATCTTTTTTAAAAAAACAAAAATTCTTTAAATTTAATTATTTTATTGAGCATCATTATTTTTAGAGGTGAGTTTCTTGGGAATCGGTAGATAATACAATACGTAATGTCTCGCCAATTCTTCTTCTCATTAAATTATTCTTTTCGTTTGATGTTTTTGCCTGCCTAAAAAAAATAATTTTTTGTTTAGAATTATTTATTCTTAAGTCTTCCCACAATTTCCCCCGCCCCCTCTCCCCCTTTCTACATTTAATTTTTATAATTTCAACAAAATCCCCTCTTTTTTTAATTTCTTTACTTTCCGCCTGCTGGATTAAAAACCAATTCATGTCCAATAGCTGCAGATCTTACAGTCATTGAAGGGAAAGCATCATCGAGAATTAAAATGGCAGAATTTGTCTTTAAATAATAATTTTATTTTAATTTAAAAAAACAAGTTTTTAACTTCATCTAAACTGCTAACATCTGCTACTGTTCTACAATGTTCTTGTTGATTGGAAATCCTAAAAGTGCCTTCTTCTGGGCTTGAGACATCTTTAAAAAAATATATTTTGGAAAGAATTTGTAAAAATACACTCAGATCTCGCTATAAGATAACCCAAAATCAGATAACCTCAATTTAAGATATGCTTTTTAAATCTGGTTGGACAATGGGTAAAAGTATAATTCACCTTAAGATAATTCCCATTATGATACTTTTTTAAGCCCTAAGGGTTATCTTATAGTGAGGACTGGCCATTTATTTATTTATTTACAATCAAGGAATCTCCAATCTTTTCCCGGTTCATAAGGAAGTATTTGATGTTGAGAAAGCATTTTTTGTATTTTTTCGCGAACTTGGCTAAGTTCTAATTCTGCCTCCAAAACAAGTGTTCCCAATTCAAACCCTATAAAAAATCTTTGAAATAAATTTTAAAAAATATTTACCAGTATCTTTAAGTCTATCAACAGAATCCCTATAAGTATCATAATCGTGACGACCAACAACAACAATAGGAACACAAACAGAGACGTTGTTGGGAGGGGATGGTGCTTGTGGAGTATTATTTAATGGATAGGCTGCTAAACTTGCCTAAAAATTAAAAAGATTTTAAAAATTCAATAATCAAAAAAAAATTAGAATTTTATATTTAATCTTTATCCTATTAAATAAATATTTTATGAATGCAAGAAAGGGATATAGCTAAACGTTTTCCGATGGCTATATTTTTTACTTTTACTTTAACTAAAAAATATGCTTTCGATTAAGGTTGTCAGATCAAAAGATCAGAAATTTTACCAGATCCGCCAACCCTACTTCCAAGCCTAAAATTCCCAATTCTTTTGTCAATTATAAAGAATAGATATGAAAAACTAGAAGGTTCACCCGAAATATTAATTTTTTTAATAATCGTTTGTCTTCTAAAAAATTTCCCATTTTGTATATCATTTTACCTTAGAATTTTTATGTTGATTTATAATTGGTGAAGTAATATTATTTGATTTTAAATTTAATCCATTCCCATCATTTTGTTCAGATATTAAATTATTATTAATTATAGCTATATTATTATTATTTTGATTGCTATTTTTTCTTCTTCTATTTGCATTCATTGAAACAATATTATTTGTTGGAGCAGAACCAGAAAGACGAGCAAACTTTTCACGTCTCAACATTGGAACTTTATTGTGAAATGAAAGATGAATGAGGGAAGGGCCGAGAAGGCAGGGTTCTCCATCTACTTGCATTGGAATTGGTTTAATTGTTTCTATGCGGACATTTGAACATTGAGCTATTCGTTCACCTCGGCCACCCATTTGTAATGTTGCCTTTTTAAAAGAAGGAAAAAGGTAATGAAAAAGAAATTTTTACGGGGAAATTTCGTGGAATCAAAAAATTTTTGAAATTTTTTTGAAAAACGGGGTACAATCCCAGTAATATGTACATAGTTTCGTTTAGGTGCCACCATTTCCCCTTCCTTTATTTTACCTAAAGCAGATACAAAGGCTAATACATATAAGACTTAAATAAGGTGTTACTGCTTAGGTGAACCGAAATGAGTTTCTCATATTGAGGTTCGATTTTATTAATTCCATTAAAACCAACTAAAAATTTTCCATTAAAATCAACTAAAAACCAACCAAAGTTGCTGTAGTAAAGCCTAAAACTTCAATTTTTCCATCACAAGGACTCGGACGAGAAAAGACTTCCCCACAAGATTCCTGCACTCCATCACCTCCTTGCCCCCAAGGAACAGTCCCACCCGCATAAAAAGAAATATTGTGAAAGAGAATACAATGAAATTTAAATTCTCTAATTTTTGGGGTTATATCAACCCCGTCACATTCAACAGTTATATATTCACTCAAATCTTTCCAAGCCCTTTTGAAGAGATCAATAGTTCCGAGACCTCCATAAGCTAGACGATTTTTTAGTCTTTTAAGTAAAAGAAATTTTAAAAGAATTATTTAAAAAAGGAGGATTACCTAGAATTAAGCATTTGTGGATTAGCACTTCTAGAATGATGAAATTGTAAAGCAACATGTGCATCTGCCCCAATAGAAAAATAATTATTCATAACAGAAAGAGGTAAAGTTGTTTGGCATTCATTATTTAATTGTTGCTCTTTATTTTCCTTTAAGAAAAATTTATTTTTAAATTTCTATTTATTATTTTACATTATTTTCATTTAAAAATGTTGGACTATTTAAATTATTGCTAGTTGATTGTTGTTGCTCTTGTTGTAAATTATTAGTTGAAGATAAAGGAAATACATCTAATCTCCAACGATCCAAAAAAGTAACACTCGTTTCTGTTTGTATTGCTTGTAATATTTCTGATAAAGGCTCATCACTAAATGTTCCACCCCACCCCATACTTCTTTAAAAAAAGAAGATTTATTTAAAAAATCTTTTAATTATTACCTAGAAAGGTCATTTCCCGTTCCAAGAGGTAAAATAGCAATAGGAGGGTATATATTCCAATTTAACTGATCTAAAGTACTTAACAACCACCCAACAGTTCCATCACCTCCACACACCAAAATTCTCATTTGATTAGTTATTTTTCTAAATATTTCTAATCCATATTTTGGGCCATTCATTGTATTTATATCTTTTAATTTTTAAAATTAATCACTATTATTTTCCTTATTTTTACCAAAAACTTGACGAGGATTTAATAGCCAACAAAGTGTATTTAAAGCTTTAGCTCCTTTATTTCCTCCTTAAATTAATTTTTTTGAAATAATTTTTTTCTTAAATTTATTTACCGCTTTTTGGATTAACAAAAGCAAGTAAAGGTTGAATTGGGGGCTGTTGACTGTTACTAGCCTCATCTCTTGTACCACCAATTAAAGGAATTGGTCCAACATTGTTTGTTGGTTGTTCGAGAAATTTGACAATAAAAGGGCGATACTAAAAATTAGGAAAAGATTTTGTGGACTGACAAGGGAACATTATTTTTGATACAAATAAAGGATCCTAACTTTCTATTATGAAATATTTAAAAATTCATTAAAAATCCACAAAAAGAAAATCCTCAAAAATTAGAAATTCCTCACCTTTTTTCTATTCCTTTTTAACGAAATGGCTACAATATTATTAGAAGTTTGTTGTTCATTTAATCTATTATTTCTACGTTGATTAGAAAGTCTTAAAAGCCAATTTGGTGGTAATATTAATTCTCTCAAAATCCCTCTATCACAACGATCATCAAAACGAGCTAATGAAAAACACGAACGTTTATTGTGATAGGAACGTTTACACCAAGAACAATTAATTGCTATTACTTCCTAAAAAATAATAATAATATGTATTTTTAAATTATTATAGTTGGGGGACATCACTTTAAGAAAACTATAGTGATTGAAAAAGGATAAATCTTAGAATGAGGTTTATCTTAAATAAAACAGGAATTAATCCAATGAGTTAATAAAACCACTTAAATAAATGTAGCTTGAAGTGTGTCTAGTAATAATATTGGGTGTTAGTCTAATGATATTAAGTGTTAGTCCGACTGTAAATTATTGTTTCTTTAGTCATTACCAGTGCTTCGAAGCTCGTACCAAAATTCGTACTCGTACCTCGTACTCGTACTCGTACCTGGTACGAAGTACGAGTACGAGTACGAGCAAAAATTTTGGACAGGTACGAAGTACGAGTACGAGTACGAGTACGAGGCCAAAAAAAGTGAAAAGTACGAGGTACGAGGCCTAAGTACGAGCTCGTACTTCTCGTACTTGGTGTTAATAGGAAAATCGAAAAAATATGTTTAATTTTATTCAAAAGTCCTTAGATGAGCGAGTGGCCGAGTGGTTAAGGTGTTAGGCTTCACCAAAGATGTTAGTGATTTAGATGTGGGTTCGATTCCTGTTCAGACGACAATGAATTTTCATATTTTTTTTCTTTAAATAACATATTTTATATGTTTAATTATGTTTTAAAAATTATTCCATTTTTACATGGAGTAATTATGAGATTTTGGCCCTCAAAATTCTTAAAATATTTTTACTTTGAACTCTAAAAAGTGAATTCTTTTTGCCTATGGCCTTCCGAAATTTTCAAAATTCGCCTGCGGCGCAGAAAAATGCAAGAAATCTGGCTTCATGGCCTTCAAAATTTTTGAAAATTTTCGCCTGCGGCGCAAAAAACGGAAGAAATCTACTTAAGGATATCCAAAATTCTCAAAATTTTGCCTGCGGCGCAGAAGGGATTTTAGCTTATGATCAGGAGATAAAAATGTGAAAAGTTCGGTGGAAAAGGTATAAAGTTTCATGGAAGTGAATGAAAAACCGATGAAAAAATACCGTGTTTCGGGTAACCCGAGACATCTTGGAGACAATATTGTTCATTGCACTCCAAAATGCTCAAAATTTTGCCTGCGGCGCAGAAAATGGATGAAGTTGGAGGATTTATATCTTCAAAGCCTTCTAAGATTCAAAAATTATCACATACAGCGCTTAAAATTTAAAAATAGACGACTTGGGCTCCAAAAAATCATTAAAATTTTCGATTTTTTGCTTTTTTCTCAAGTACGAGTAAGTACGAGGTACGAGTACGAGGTACGAGGCCTAAAATAAGGCTGGTACGAGGTACGAGTACGAGTACGAGCAAAAAAATGGGGGTGGTACGAGGTACGAGTACGAGTACGAGGCCAAAAAAAGAGGTGGTACGAAGTACGAGTACGAGTACGAGCAAATTTGAAATTTCGAAGCACTGGTCATTACCTTTTCTCTAAACATTTTTTGCTGAAAAGACTTTCCACAATGAAAACACCTCCCTTCCAATCTCCATCTATGTACCCAATGATGTTTGTAAAGGGAATCTTGACCATCCCTACAATGTTGACGGCGATTTGTTTGGGAATCTCGATATGTACTTTTACAGTTTAAATTCATCTGTACAATTTAAATTAAATAAAATCGAATTCTTGCTTTTTTGGATAGTTCCCTCGCAACTAAACCCAAAAAGGATTTTACAATATAAAAGTCTATTTCCACAGAGGTTAAAAGTACATTTGGGTTGAAAAACCTTAGGGTTGAAGTTAACGAGAAAATACAACAGGAAACCCCCTTTTTGTGGGACCCCCCATAATTTATTTTACCTTCGCCAATAAAGGAAAACAAGCAGTATGTGCAACAATATGGCAAGCAGCACATCTTCTCTTTTCCCCTATTCTTCCACAATCTGTTTCCCCTAAATAACATTCTGTATCTATATTTGTTGATGAAGAAATTGAACAAGAAGGTAACCAAATATGTTCTGATGAATTTATCTAAAAGAATTCTTTCAATTCTTTTCAAAAAATATTTTTATTTACTTGTTCTTCTAACCAATAACGACTTGTACGGTGTTTTGTTGCCCGTTTTTGTTCTTGTTCTTGTAAAGCCGCTGCTCTTTTAACGACTGGAGATTTAGCCAAAGCCTTTCTAAAATAATATTATTTTTTAACATTTTTAATTTAAATGAAAAATTTTTTTAAATTTTTTAAGAGAAATAGAGAAAAGAGAAAATTAAAGAATGAAAAAAGAAAATAAGAATTGAATGGGCATATATATATTTAACCTGAAAAATAAAAAAAATATTTAAATAAGTTATTTAACTAATTTTCTTCAAAAAATACCTAAATATTTCAGATAAATGCTCTATTCGACTTGGACGTCTTAAAACACAATCAGGCGAACCACTCGGATCAAAAGAACGTGAACGAACTGTTCGAATAGAGTCACCCCCTGGAGTGGAAATTCCTGAATGTTTAAACAAAATTTTAAAATATTTCCTTTAATTTCAATTTTATTTACCCGCAGTCCTTTCTCCAGTAGAAGATCCAGCTTCTGCACTACTTAAACTACTAACACTCCATAACTTTAAAATAAAAAAAAATTTTTTTTTAATTTCAAATAATAACTTCAATATCTCTTCTCAATTGACTTAAATCAACACTATTGCTACGTGGAGGGGAAGAACATTGATTTAATCCTCCATTATCTATTGAAGAACAATTACTAGTATAACAAGGAGAAAATGAAGAAGAATTTGAAGGAGAAGAATTTGAAAGTAGAGGAATTCCAAAAGGAAATCCGGGAGGTTTTAAAGTATCCATTTGAATTATATTTCCTCCATCATTTTTAACAATTCTTCTGTCTTGTATTAATAAATCTCCTCCTCCCGAATGTTGTGGGGAATTTGTTGAAGATAGGGATGAAGGAATACCACTAGTTATTGTTGTTAATTCTTGATTATTTAAAGTATTCCAACTAAAAAAATTTTTTAAAATATTTTTTAATAATTTTTGGTATTTATAAACTAAGGGAGTTTGAATTTTTCTTTGTAGTGAAATGGGGAAACAAAAAACAGCAACTATAAAGTTCATAAAATTTTATTTAAAGTTTACCGGTCATTCCCGCAATTTGAACCTTCCAAATGTTGAGGTGAAGGATTAGCCCAAAAACCTTCGTCTGCACTTTCAGGTGTTCCTTCAGAATTACAAGAGGATACCTGAAAGAGAAAATAAAAATTTATAATTATGAGTGGATACTAACCACAATATCAGGAGTGCCCATTTGACGGCGAAGCATTTCCATTTGCCTTTCGTTTTCTTCTAAAGTTTTCTTCTCTCTTTGTTGTTGTTGGTGGTGATGATGATCTGCAAACATACGCCTTGCACGGGCAGGAGATCCACTGAAAGTGAGACGGGCTGCTAAACGCTTAACGGCACACTCAATTTCAGCACGTAAACCGCTAGTTCTATATTCGGCAAGAAGAGCACAGTGAAGGCTAAAAAGTAATTTTTTAAAGGGATTGAAAAACTTCAATTTAAAATAAAAAAATAAAGAAATCAAGAAAAGAGAGCAAAGATGAGTGAATGTGGTTTTTAAATTAAGAAAATCATTTACTAGCATATATTTATTATTATTCACGAGAAAATATAGCGGAGAAGCAGGAAATGCTTATGATGAATCCAACGCTACACCACCCCCTCTTTTTTAATGATTTTTTTCTGCAAACATTCCATTCTTTATATTAACTCCATTTATTTGTTATTGTTAGCATTTAATAATGTGAAAAGGAGAAGATAAATATTGTATAAAAATGGGTGTTTTACGGCAAACAAAAATGTTTAGTTTTGTTAAAGGTTAAAATGATGTTTTGTAATTACGTCCATTATGTTTAAAAGAAAATATTAAGATAACCATAAAAACATGCAAAAACAACAAAGGCATTAAAACGATAAAAACATTGAACAACACAGAAGAGAAACAATAAATAAAACAAACAAAATAAATCATAAGAAAAACACAAAAACAATCTGAACATAAAGAAGCAAAACATCAACAAAACAAATCCAAACATTCCCCAATTCCCTTGTTTTTAACCCAAAAACCAACCAATTTAATTCTAAAGCAGTTTTATTAACGCCATCTTCAATTGGTAATAAATCGCCACTTAATGCACTCAATGAATTTGAACGATTTCCTCTTTTACAAAAAACAACAGAACTGCTCTTTTTCCTCTTTTTTCCAAGTAATGTAGCTGTGGATATTTTCTTTTGTGGATAAAATTGTTTTTTAATATTTTCTTTTTTCTCTTCAGAAGAATTAAGGGAAGATTTGCCTAAAGAAGAAAAAGGCCAAAGATTTTCTCTGCTCAATATTGAAGGCTTTTTAGTACTTCCGTCTGAATGAATTCGTGACCGTGAAGTTTGGCTTCCGGGAGATGAAATGACTGATCTAGAAATATTTGAAGAATTTAAATTAATAGAAATGGAAAGAGATTTTCCTTTCCTTCCTCCCAAAATTAAATATATCAAAGTTTCCGTTCTTTCTTTACCTAATTAAAATTAATTTGGCAACGCTCCAAAAAGAAAATTTTATTTTAAAAAATTTTCACTTAAAAGGCTAACTCAACCAAATCCCCCAATACTTTTTCTTTTTATTCTCATTAAATTATGTTCGGCAACGTTTTTTGAGAGTCGATATCGAGATTAACTCAACCAAATCCTCAACCCCCCCCCCCCCCTCTCCCTTCCCTCCCCCCCCCCCCCTCTCCCAAAAAATGTCAGCAAAATTACCGTTTCGTGACTAATACTAATTTAAATTAAAATTTCTACCTTTGTTCTTTTATTTGTCTTTGTTGTTGAGGATCCCACGAAAGGCTAGGTCCTAAAGGTTTTCTTCTATTATTATTCTTTAATAATTTTTCTTCTCCTCCTTCCTTTCCTTTTTCTTGTGTTTTAACCTCAATATTATTATTAAAGCTATTCTTTTTTGGAACAAATGAAGCTGCCCAGCTCCGTTTCTTCTTTTTTATTTTCATTTCCTTTTCCTCCTCCTCCCCATATATTTCTTCCTTTCTTTTTTCTTCCTTTACCAAATTATCACCACCACAAAATTCATCATCTTCCTCTTCATTTTCACAATTTGCCTTAAGGATATTCTTTAATTTAAATTCTCTTTTTTCTTCCACAAATTTTACAGGATTTGTTTGATGATGCCATAATTCTATAAAATATAAAAAAATTAAAGGAAAGTAGTTGCCAATCCAAAAATATATTTATTTATTCTCTTATGGAAAATAAAAAGTATTAGTTAGCCTCAAATGAATAAAAAAAGAAAGAAAATTATAAAATTCTCTCAATTTATTAAAAAAGAAGTTTAGTAAAAAGTTTAGAACTTTTGAGTGCAATAAATATTTTTTGCAAAAAAAAAAATAAAGGAAAATATTGCACGAAAAAATAAAGCTTTTAGTATAAAAAATTATTTAAAAGTTTCTAGTAGAGGGCTAACGGGAATATTTACATGGTTAGAGACCGGACTTGAAATGAAGTACGAGGATCAAGATTCTCGAAAAATCTCGATCTCGATAACTGAGACTTTTTATCAAAATCTCGCCTTGGTCCGATCACTAGTCAGAATACCTCGATTTCCAATATTTTTTTAATCCCCATAGATTTTTTTGCAATTTCCGAGTTCAATTTGGACCAATCCCAATTTCCGACAGCTCCCTCCCTATTGTGTCCATCACTTCTGATAAACAGTAAATCTTTACCTAATTCATCCTCTCCATTACAAAATAACCCTTTAGCCATTATAGTACTCGTTGATAAATCACTGGACGAAGTTGGAACATTAGAAGAGGAGGAAGTATTCGATAACCGTCTTAATGCACTTTTAGCAGCTAAAATTCTTTTCCTCATAGCCCTTTTGGCGGCACCACAATTGCTATTCGAAGTTATTCCCGACTTTTTTCTAGTCGCCAAAATTGTCATTCCTCCAAATCCGCGATATCGAATTCGTTGGAAATTTTGTTTTTCATTCTTTAAAATTTAGAAAAAAATTTTTGTTGTTATAATTATTTTTTAATTTTATTTTTTAAAATTTTTAAAATATATATTTAAAGATTATTTTCTTTTTCAAACTTTATTAATAAACAAAAAAGTTTATTAAAAACCTGCTCTAATATATTGCTATTATTATTAATAGTTGTTGTTGTTGTTGAACTTTGTTCGGGTGAATTTTGTATTTTAAAATTATTATTTGTTGAGTCTTCTTCAAAACTAGTAATGCTTACATTCCCCATCCAAAATTTAAAAATTAATTTTTAAAATAGTTTCTTTTATAAAAATTTACTTGAAACATGGCAAGTGAAGACCTTCTTAAATTATTTGGAATATTTCTAACTAAATTAATGCCAGATTTTCGTAAACTGGACATTGTTGAAGGAAAATGGAGATGAAATGAACGTGAAGAATGGGTACTAGAACAACCTGGGGAGGTTGCTGGGGAATGCTGTTGACTACTAAAAATTGAAAGTTTTTCTAATTAAAAAAACAAAAACTTTCTTTTTCCCCTAATTTACCTGCAAGAAGGATTATTAATTTCTAAATTTGGTTGTGTTTGTTGTTCATCATCCTCATCATTTTTTGTAGAACGTAAAATCGAAGGAAGTTGTTTATTTATTAATAATATTTCTTCGTTTAACATTTTTTGTTGGTCTTCAGTTATTTCTTTTAAATTTTTTTAAAATTATTTTTTTAATAATTTAGGTATTCAAGAAATGCCAAAAAAAATATTTTTATTTTTTAAAAATTCCCCCAAAACCCCTTCCCTTCCTTTCCTCACTTAATTGTGCCGTTCTCCTTTCATCTTCTGTCCATTTCATTTTGCGCATTCTTCCAAATGCCTGAAGCATTTGAAACAAAAAAATATTTTCTTTTAAACCAATTTCTGTTTAAATGAAAAAATGAGGAAGTTTTTTTTAATTATTAAATTTATTGTATTTCCATTGTTTATTAAATCTTTGTAGTTTTATATTTCCTGAAAAATAAATAAATTTAAAAAAAAAAGTTAAAAACTTTCTCTTTTAACCCCATATTATAAAAACTTTTACTAAGAATACATAGGTGCCAAAAAAAATTCAAATTTTTAAAATAAATTTTAATAAACGGAAAAAAATATTTTTAAAAATACAAAAAAAATTAAAGGTAAATCTAAGAATAAAATAAAGAAAAAATTATTTAATTTCTAGGAAATTTAAATTTTGTTTTTATTCAAAATTAAATAGGTAAATTGTTTTATAATTAAAATTTATTTGAAAAAAATTTCTTTAATTTAAAAATTTTTAAATAAAAATTTTGATAAAAAAAAATAATTTTCATTTTTAATGGATAATTTTAAATATAAAATATTTAAAAATTTATTTTGAAAAAATAAATGGAGGTAGAAAATTTGTGGGGGTAAAAAGAAAATATTGACCGGAAATTTAAAAAAAAGCAAAGAAATTAATTATAATGAATTATTTATTTTTAAAATTATTTTTAAAAAATATTTAAATGTTTTGGAATATTTTTATTTGTCTGAATGGGCAGCAGCTGGCAGCAAAATAAATTTTGGGGGAGGAAGAGAAAAGAAGAGAAGAATTTAGTCAATAAATAATTGATTATAAATTGGAAAATAAATAAAATTGATAAACTGAAATGAAAAAGATAATACTAGAAAAAAACAAGCATTTAAATATTTATTTGAGATTAATTTTAGTTCCAAAAATTAATCGAAAAAATTAAATAACCATGCAATTAATTCTATAAATATTATAAAAAAAATTTGCAGTTTAGTACATAATTAATTTACAAAAAATAAATATAGAATTTAAACTTTAAAAATTCAAAAAATTCAATTAAAAACCTCAACTCAAAATAATCTCTAATTTTTTTAAAAAAATCTCTGAATAAAATTTTTAATTCGGTAGATTTTTAATTAAAAAACTAAATATCTACCTAATTTATCTAAATAAATAATCCAAAAATATTTTTCACAATTTGTCAGACTAAAAATTTAATTTTAAATATAAAAAATATTTATTTATTTTAATGTACTTTTCAGGGTGCATTAAACAAAAAAATATTTAAAAGTAAACAACAGCTGTTTAAAAAAATAACAAAAGAGATTAGTCTAAATTTAGAATTTAGTCTTCTTAAATAAATGAAAATATAGAAAGATCAAAGAAAAATGATTGTCTGAATTTATCATTCAAATAAAAAAAATAGAAAAATATTTATTTTGTTTTGAGGAAGTAAAAATATATTATTTAAAAAAATATTTTTAAATTAAATATATTTATTTATGTATATAGATTGTAAAAACCAAAAGAGGGAAAAAGAATGGAATTACAATATATTTTCTAATAATTACCCCCCCCCCCCCCCCATTTCAGAAAATCTGAAAAATATTTTATTGTTTTAAATAAATTTAAAGAGTTAAAAGACTTTTTTCTTTTATCCCATATCATAAAATTGGAATTTCTGGATCTAATTGCAAAATGCAGATTTTAGATATAGTCAAAATTTTTCGAATTCAAACAAATCTAAGGAATTTAAAAAATTCGAAAAGTGAAAGAAAATTAAGAGTGGATTAAAAAATAAAAATATTTTTGAAAATTCTCTTTTAAAGGAATCTTAAACTTAAATAAAAAATGTACATTTTAAATAAAACTCCCAAAAACAAACATTTAAATTCTTTCATTTAAAAAATCAATTTAAAATTTTAAATCCACATCAATTTCTTTTAAGGAAATTGAGAAATAACAAATATCTTTAAGTAGCTTCCGGTTGCTTAAAGCTATTTGCGCAAAAAGAGAAGAAATGAAGGGAAGAGAATTAAAAAGGAAGAAGTACTACATAACCACACACACACCTTTAATAAATCCATAAAATTTGTAAAAATTTCTTAATATTTAAAAAATATTCCCTCTCTCGTTTAAGTAAAAAATTTGTTTTGAAAAATTTCTCTGGATTTTAAATATTTGTGACCGGCAAAGGACTCCCTATTTGCAAAATTCCTCCTAAAAAGCATTCCCGCAAAAGTTCGGAAACTAGAAAAAAGTGCGGGAATTCAGAAATATCTCTTACTCGCATCTTATATATTCCTTCAAATAAAAACTTTTTTTGGTTAAATTTAAATGTTTAAATTTTTAAAGTCAAAAAGAAAATTTTAAAATAAAAATAATTTTTATATTGATCGAAGCTAATTTTTCTGCAGATAAAAAAGAGGGGAAAGATTTTAAATTATTAGATATATTTTATTTTAAATAAATTCTAAAAAAAATTCAAAATGAAAGATTTTTTTTGAAATTTTAATCATTCGTGGAAGGAAAGAAATTTTAAAAAAATAAAATTAAAAAATTTCATAAAGAAAATTATAGATAGGTAGATTTTTTAGATTCGGCTAAAACTAATTGAAAACTGATAATTCTTTATTTTTATTAAATTCACAATACTCGGAGAAAATTGTTAAAAGCAAATAATCCCACAATTTAATTAATTGTTACTCAATGAATGAGCACTTTTTAACAAAATTTGGATCAGTTTCAAGGCCCTGATCTTAAATGATACGAATGACGTCAAAATTAGACTTTGGCAGGAAGAAATGTTTTTTACTGCCCTGAATATTCGAACGTTTATCTATTAATCCATACTTCTCGTATTTATTACCAAAAATTTGTTGTGAATCTAATAAAAAAATAAAATTATTAATTTTAATTTATTTTTAGTTAAGCCGAAAACAAAAAAAGTATAGCGAATTTCCACATCCTATAAAATAAAATAAAAGTAAATATGTATATTCAACTAAAATGCCACAAAAACTAATTCTAAACACGCTCAATTACGCAACGCATTAGCTCTATTAAAAATATATATTCCCCTCTTTTATCCCTCTTCTCTCTACACCATTCCAAGGATTAAATAAAAAATATTTTTTAATAATAATTTAGTGTAAATATATTGGCTTTTTTGTCTCTTTTATTTTTAAGGCAAATATTTTTATATAATAATTAATTCTTCCCTCGCGCACTCTCTCAAAAATTATTTGTTTATTTATGGGGCTCGACAGACATTTTTGCTGTCCAAATATCAATTAATTCTCTCCTTTCCTTTATTCAATTCTAATTGTTTCGTAAAAATATTTTTATTTATTTATTATTTAATTTTTCAAAATTAAAAAAATATGGATGGACTTGATTGACCCAAATAAATTTAAAAAACTTTTTTCCCTCTTCCAGATACCCAGCAAGAATTAATCTTTATAAAACCAAAAAAATATTTTTTTTCAATTTTATTTACATCATTTTCCGTTTTTATTAGATAAAAATAGAATTAAATGCTTTTAAAAGGATATATTGCGTGAATTGAAAGAAAAAAGTTTTTGCAAAAATTTGAAAAAAAAAAAAAAGAAATTGGTAAAAACTTTTTTTGGAGTTTGGGCAAAACACAAAAAAAAAAGAAAAGAAAAAAGATTGAATAAAAAAAATTTAAAATTAAATTAAAAAATAAAATTAATTAAAATTCAACTAAAAATATTCGATAAAAAATTGTTTAGTTAAAAAAAAAGAAAAATTCCCAATTAAAAAAAAAGTTTTTGTGGTTATTTCCCTTAAAGAGAGGAAGGAGTTCTTTAATTATATTTTATAATTAAAAATACTTAACAAAAATTTTCTCTTTCAATTTATTTAAATTTTCCGTTTAGTTTAAGGGATTTAATTATTTAAAAGTTAATTTTTTAAATAAAAATTCATACCAAAAGCAATACATCCTTCCACACTTCTTTCACATGTAAATATGTATATGCCCATTCAATAAATATTAGACAAAATTAAAGAGATTAAAAAAGAGATTTTTGAAGAAATAATTTCACAAATTTTATTCAATTTGTGAACATTTTAAGAGAATAATTAATAAAAGAAGAATAATTTTTAATTAAATTTTCTGTCAAC